AGGCTTGAACCACGTGCCTTTAGGTTGGCAGTGCCAACTTCTTACCCACAGAGCCAGCCACCAGAGCCCCTATATGCTGTGAATGGACTCAAGTTCAGCAAACAGGAATCGGAAACATTTTTAATCATGACCAAACACTTTGAAGGAGTGAGTCATTTAGAAGGCAGGAAGAGCTAGGAACGAGGACAAATGGGAACTGGAAGCCCGGGGAAGCAGTGGGAAGAGCGCCATTACAGCGTGGGGTCCATTATCAATGCCATGAATGATGTGCATGAACATGCACAGCCAACTTGCTCTGTGAACTTCCATTCACATCACAATGAAAAGGTAAGCCCCACACCCCAAACTACTCATTTCAGACTGCTGAAAACCAAGTAACTTGCCATGCTCCTCTAAGGCCTACTTATCAAAGCTGCTGTCCACCTCATCCAGGAGATGCAGGGAGGCAGGGGGACTGTAGATAAACAAGCAGCTACTCAAGGACTTGAGCAGGATTAGAACTTGCCGTGTATCTGAGGTACATTCCTTGAGGCTGGAGCAGTCCACGGAGTACTGACTGATGGTCGTGATTTGGACAACAGGTGCCTAGCACACCCAGTCGGAATCCTGGCACGCTGCAGCTGCTCAGAGGCCTGTTCATCCCCCAAGCTGTGAGCTCCCCGTACTGGCTTTAAGGAAACCCACTCAAGAGAAGCCTGGATTTGGGACTGGAACCTGCCAGCCAAGAGAGCTCTTGAAAGTATTTTCCAACATGTGTTGAGAACACTTTAGCAATGGAGTTTCTTTTTGACTTTAGTAACAATGACTGGGAACCAGTGTTTATTTACTTACAGTCTTGAATATTTTAAGATTCACTGATCTCCGTTGGAGAGAAGATGAGCCTCAACGACTAACCAGCTTTGCTGTGCCCCAGGTGCCTGCCATCAGATGTGTTAGGACGAAATTTCTACTTTCTCTTTTGGCAAACCAGCCATGGCCACTGTATCAATCATGCTGTTGTGGAACAAATCACCCAAAACTTCAGTAGCTTAGGACAATCCTGAACATTTTTTAGTTCATATGGTTTCTGCGGGCGAGGATTTTGGAAGGAGCTTTGCTGGGGGGTTCTGGCTTCAAATCTCAGAGGTTAAGATGTCCACTAGGCCTCAAGATGTTAAGTCTTGACGAAGAGACTGGAGGATTTCCTTCCAAGAGAGCTCACATACATGGCTGGCAGGTTGGGACCAGCTGTTTTTAGGAGGCCTCAGAGCCTCTTCCAATAGGACTACTCTGATCTTCATGAGTGCACTAGGCTCCTTCCAGAGTGAACAAGAGAGCAAGGTGGAAGTGGTCATGTCTCCTATTATGACCTGGTCTCTCTCCGAAGTTATACATCATCCATTCTATTGGAGGGCCCGGTCTCGAAATTTAAAAGGTCGGCATATTTCTTACTTATCCCACACAGTTCCTTGGTGTCTTGGTTCTCAGGTAAGGTCATCTCTAAGCATTTACATCTGTAACTGCATCCACTTAGATGATAAACACAC